CAAAGGATTCTTGCTCTACCATATTTACACCGTCTGTCTCTCAAGCACAGGAACCGTAAAATTACAAGCGTACCTCGCCATGTCATAGTGAAGAAGTCAAATCCTGAAGTTCCAATTTAGGTAAAACAAAACTTTTTTGATTCCGCTTCATCGTACAGCATGACGTTAAAAAAAGGAATATTTACGCAAGAATCATTACCAGTGCATAGTAAACCGTCGTTTTTTTCTTGGGCAAAGTCTGTATCAAGTGTGAAAACGTTAATCAAGATGTTGTCTGATCAAACTTCATAAAAAAATCATTAAAAAACAAGAGTCAGAGTGTATGGAAAATTCACGTTATATTGTTACAGTGTACTTTTGAATAAAATATGATAGTTGATATACGTTGTATTTATTATATTTTGTAACTGTACTTTATTATTTGGAAATTTTATGTTTGGATACTATATTATGCTTTACGTTATAAATTATGTAACTTAAAATTAAATAAATAAACAAATTACTTGATGATCTAGAGTACGTTCAAATTATAGCTTCTTTTTATAATTAACTTTCTTTATACTACTTCTGTATTAAAAATACTTTATTCTTTGGCATATACATTCCTTTTATTAAAAATGAGAAACTATTATGTTTTAATTCATTGCAAAAACAATTCAATATCTTGTTACCATTGAAAAGGTGTTCTTACAATTTCATAAATCAACTATCACCACAGAAATATTTTATGTAAGTTTTACTTGCTAGTCATAAACTTTTAAACTGCACATAGTCTATTTTTTCATGCATGATTAATGCTAGATAACACGTAAGTACATCCGTATCATTGACTTCCTGATGCAGAATTATTGCGATTTTTAATATTCATCTCGAAAAAACGTTATTGAATAAAATAGCCTAAATAATAAATAATTTCAATATATAATTTACTAATCGAAACTTTTTTCGTTAGTTGATTATTGAAATTTCGATTTTCTGACGACAACCTATATATACTCTTTTTTTTAACTAACTCAATGGGTTGTCCTACCCAAGGAAAAAATTTGAGGTTTATCGTAGTTAAACTATTGGACTAACTGGAAGTACAGCTATTGAATTATGTACGAAGGGTACATACTGTAAATTTTGTACAGTACATAATATTTATTGGATAATTGTAATAAATCTGTACTACCCTATGTAAATGAAGTTAAAGTTGTATGTGTTTTTCATTTTAATTAATTATTAAAAATCTCTGGCTGATATGGGTTCTTACACTTTGAGATGGTGTAGAAACTTTATTTATTGGTATAAAATGTAAGTTTCAAGATGATTAAATCCGTTAATATCTCATAATATACATCGAAAGACAGTCATCTTACAATTTTTAGTAAATAAAATTTGTTTGAACTGTAAAAGTGTGGAGAAAACTTACATTACCCAATGATTCAGCCCAACTTATGTTTTCCTACTAAAATGCGTGTTTAGGCATCATAACGCTTTCTAATGGCTGCACACGCCACAGTAAGCAATCGTACTTTATTTATTTTGGGTATAAGGTTACATTTTCTTGAAAAAAAGGTGAGTCAATGTGTTCGACTGAATTTTTCGGTTGTCCACTAGTAATATACTAAAAGCTTCCTATTCACTGATGTATATAAGGAACAATATTCCTTTTCACTAGCAGTTAAAGTAATATTTTCAAGTCGCCACCACAATGGCTATCATGAAGTTAATATTCGTCTGCCTTGTCGTGGCGATAATAACAACAAACGTAACCTCGCAGTCAACCACTAATCAAGCAGGAGCAGTATTTCGTTTTGGTGTTAGACTCAAGAATGATAAATTAAATCAAATTCGTTATGTGGAACAGAAATCTGGCATTTGCAGTATGATCATGCCCATGAAAAAAGTAACGTTTGCTGTAAAAAATAATGAGATCATAAACTACATCGAAGTTTCCAAGTTCAAAGGACGTTCCGAGAATTTTTCCGTCAGCAGCACCAAAATAGGAAAATCAAAGGTTACTTTAACGTTTACCAGCAAATATTGTAGCGGTATCTTTGCTGCCGTTCAAGTGTATTCTAAGGCTTACTCAATACCCTTGAACTATTGACAAATGTAAGATTACTAATTACAATATTATATCACGGTTTCATGTTCAGTTTTCTTATAAATAAACTTATGGTTGAATAATTTGTTGCGCCTCTTGATTTATTGCCAAGGTATCTTTAAACGCTTCAAAACCCTTTATTTCAACTTTGATAAAAATAAAACCACAAATAATGTAACTGATTGTTCAACATATTCAATGATGTATTTACTGTACAGGATAAAACTGTTGACAAACAAATTTTGCATACAAAATAAATTTTTAACTAACAAGAATAACTACTTATTTAACAAAATTTTTTATTTTTCTTCCTATATCTCTAAAAATAAGCAAAAACATTAAGTATTCTGAAAAATGATGAATTAATTATCTTATTATATTTACGTATATACGTATACAAATAAATTACATGTAAAGGTCACAATGCTGGTATATTACATCAATATAACATTTATAATCTTTTTTTACTACTAATAAAAATTTTTTGTATTTTATACCTATGGTGAAGAATTTTTTGTATGGGAAATTGGAAAACATAGACAAAGAAACAACGAATCATTTTATTAGAAAACAAGTAAATGAATTAATGCAACAAAATCAATTTCTACATACATGGCTTGACTACTTCATTTTTCCATGAACAAATAGTATAACCATATACGTATGAATTTTTAAAATTATTTCAGTTGATTAATATTAGCATTATTATTAATTTTTAGCTTCCCATATGATTGATTATCGTTACATATACCATAATAAACACGCATTAAACATAAATGTGTATTTGAAAAACGTATAACAACAAGATCCATTACTTTCCTCGACCACTCATAAATTTCCACCATAGGATGTAAAAAATGAAATAAATTTTTGATATATTGAAATTTTTCTTAAATTTTTAGAGTATTAAACAAGTCTTTCAAAAATATACAAAAGTATGAAAAATTTGTATTTTTTCGAAATCCACAACTTTTGTATGCACAACTTCGTAGTACAAATTATACTTTATGCTATATTGACTAAAATCTACTTTTCTTTCTATTTTCAAATGTTTATTACGTTCTAAACCATCAAGATTGTTACTGAAAAAAGTGCACAATAAAAAAAAAATATTTGAGTAAGATTTGTATTAGTTTCAGATCACACATACACGAACATGTTTAATTAAAACTAGTGAAGGTATAACAAGAAAAATAATAACTTTTGTTTATGTTCTATAAGTTTTTTTCAATTTTACCAAAATGAAGAAGTTTATAAAAAAAAAAAAAAACCTAATAAGTAAATAAAAAAAAATATATATTGTACAATATAAGCCAAACTTGAGAGTTTTTTTGATTCATCCAAAGAACTGATTTTTTGAACCTGTATAACATTACCTTTTTAATATAGAAGCATAAATTTACGTTAATTGAATAGTCGAAAGTTTTATTTTTCTTTAGATCTAGATTTTTTCTCAACTGTCCATGAACCTTGAAAGTAAAGAGTGAAAAACCAAATTAAAACCAAGTTTGGTGGAAACTTTTCAAGATGGCCGACTTTCATGTATTTAGACAAAGTTTCTAGACTTTTTGTTCTGGTAAAGATATAAGGCACTCCTATGAAGAAGTTCTTTACTGTGAAATAAACTAAAAAAACAGATACTGTTTTATGCGAAAATTAAGTCAAGTGTTCTTTTTTAAAGAGAAACTTCTTTAGTACTTCATAGAAACTTGTAGTGCCGGTTATGATTGAGCTTCTTCCTTCTATTAGAAATGGAACAATATTAATAAAACTAACCACAATAGTGACTATTACATGGTAGAACAAAATACATGAATATGATTTAAAAAATTATTTTATCATTACACTGATGTACAAAATTTTTAAATTCTCAGGAGAAGAATTTCCTGCAATAAAGAATTTAATATCCTAATGTAATAACACCCTCTAAGTTACTAAAAAATTTGATTTGTCATAGAATATTTTTGACCCAAAACTCATGAGCCAAAAACATAACTAATTTTTATGTATTTTCTTAAGCTTTATTCACTATAAAAAATAACTTTGAGTTCGGTAATTAACAGTTCTAAGCCGTTTGACGTTTTTTAAATGTGTAATAGATTAGCTAGCTTATCAAGATTACGTTACAAATGAGGATGTACTAACTTATTTGGAAACCTTAGGACACAACATTGTTCTCTAATTATATTTTTTGAAAAAAATTGTTTGGAAAAATTTTGAGAAAATAAAATTTTGGAAAAAAGTTCTATTGGAAAAATTTTTTTCGAAAAGCCGTCCACTAGCCGATTAACTTTTATGTATGTGATAGATTAGAAGCACCTAATTTTATTTAGGTGGTATAACCACTGATATGCTCATAATTGATATCATCATCTTAACTGACGAGTCGAATAGACTTATACACTACAAAAAGTTTTATCATTTTCTTTAGTTATGCTGTTGGTATGTTGATGAGACATGATCGTCCACACTTAACCTGCCCATACTAAGTGCACGGAAATATGTCTTCCTCTGAAAGCTTGCGTACGAGATGCGCTCACCCATATATGGTATGACGTACTCGGTTATTAGAAGGAACAATATACTGTCCCTTAGAAACTGAGGTACCGAACCTGGATCGCACGCGCACGTTATGTGAATAAATTGATGACTGAGTCAGACTATATGAGGTACAGAAACAAATACATACCTGAGGTACCGTTTCCTCTATTATTCTAGTACGTCATGCCATCTATGAGTGAGCGCATCTCGTACGTCAGCTTTTTAGAAGAAAACATATTTCCGTGTGGATATTCTTGAGGTAGTATTACTTTAGTTAGTTGTTTCTCTCAAGTACAAAGTAAGTACAAAAAAATTACTCATTTTCAGACTAATCGATTTTTTCGTTCTACAATATAAGGGATAGAAAATGACGGATAAAAGTAAAGCACAATCTCTTCACGATGCAGTTCGGTTGGGTGATATCAAAATGGTTCATACAATTCTAAAAAGGTAATGACTGTTAATGAAAAAAGCCGAGCTTCAAGAAATCTTTCGTAAATTGTCTTAGTTAACTTAAACAATTCCTTAGAGATCCATCTTGTGTTAATGATTGGGATCGTGACTTAAAAACCCCATTGCACGTGGTCTACGATGACGTAAATTATGACAATCTTGTACAAGATGGCGATAGATTATTGATGATGCAAGTACTCATTGATTGTGGTGCAGATGTCAATGCACGAGGAGGACGACTAGATGAATCAGTGCTTCACGTTGCAGTCAATAAAAAACATGTAAGCAGTACTTTTCATACAATGGAACATTTGTTAAAGTTTCAATCGTTCATTATTCAAAGATCAATGGAGTGGAGTGTCTCTTAAGGAATGAAGCCAATCCAGATATCCAAAATACAATAAATGAAACAGCGTTGCATTACGCAGTTAGAATGAGATCTGAGGGGATCATGAGGCTGTTGTTAAGTAACAATGCAAACCCAAACATCAATGATGCTTTTCATCAAACACCACTAGATTATGTTGTATGTAATCGTGATATTGATTACTTAAAAATACTTACGGACTATGGGTAAAATAATTTCATCACCCAACTTTATACATGTTACATTTACACAATGAACATTTCATAGTCATTTTCTTTTTTTCAGTGTTAAGAGCTTAAACATCTACAAACTGATAGGTCAACTATGTCAAAGACGTTTAGAGCCATTAGATAATTTACTTTTAGAATATTTGTATGAATATGGGCCCTCACTAAATGATTGCTTCTCTTACAGGACTCTGTCATACTATTTAATTTCGAATTACCACTTATTTATTAACATCAAACACTGCTCGTTTTATGATTTAGTATACGAAAATAGCAATTCACTGGATAGGGAAATGCACCTCTCAGATCTTCATTTAGCTGCCTACAACCTTGATGTAGAATTTGTGAAAGATCTTCTTAAAAAAGGGGTCAATGTTAATATCAAAAACAGCTTTGATGAGACGCCGTTGCACGTGGTGTTAAGAAAGCATTTTTGGTTTACGCAAAAAACTAGAAAAATAATTCTTCTACTGATTAAACATGGTAAGCTAAAACTTTTTAACTGATTAGAACTAGTATCTGCTTTTAATGTAGTTATATCGAAAGAAGCTTTTTTTTATTGTACTTGTAAATAGATATTTACGAAAAAAAGACCAATTAAAGTATTGTTTCAGAATTCATTAGAAAATTTATTTCTTTATCTTATCAAACTGCTTTATTACTGTACTATCTAGTTTTCAGTAGATATAAGAACATTTTTGCCATCGTTAATAAACAAAAAGGATTTACAACGATTCGTACAGTATTGAACTATCATTTTATGAATTCTGTGACTTAGACTAAAATTTTTTGTGTAATATTGATAATGCAGATTGATGGCTTTTAAATCATTACGTTTTTAGGCTCTCAAACAACAACAAGAAAACAAAATCTTCCAACTAAAACATAAAATATGATAATATTTGCAGGAAGTGACTTGCGTGCACAAAACTACTTACATGAAACACCATTTTTTTTGGCTACAAGAGCACTCATCCCACCATTAATAAATCTTATGCTTGCAAAAATAGCAGGAGTCAAACCGTCAATACTCAATCATTCAATAAATTACTTTGATGCTTTCTGGACTGCCGACTTTAAGACTAAGCCCGAGCTATATGAACTTTTTGTTGCTAGTACTTTGGGTTACGTGGAAATCGTTGATCGTTTTCTGGACATCAGTTTTATTGACGAAGCAAGTAAAAATTGTTGTGAAACTATTAACAAAATTTTGGGTAATGCTATGGTAAAGAAGCAGTACAGTATCGTTAAAATACTCCTGGAGGCTGGTTTTATAGTTGATGGGTTCGTTAATAAATTGATATAATATAATTATTTTCTATGAATGTTTATATTTTAATTACCAAACTTTTTTTATTTTAACAGGCATTTCAATCTTTACTTATCACTTTTACGGATACACAAATGTGAAGAGGACGATTTAAGCATAGCCTGCTTGTGTCGGGAGTTTGGAGATAACGCAACCATAAACCAAATGATAAGACGTACCTTCAATTATGTTATTTCAAATGGACCTATTAATGAATTTACATATCTTTTGGTTTTTATGTACACCATATCCTTACGAAAGGAAAATTTAAGCAAAGACTTCATTCCATCAAAAGGATTGTTTAAGTTGCAAAATGATGTGTCAAAAATTATTTCAGAATGTAACGTGATACTAGACGAATTGAAAAAAGATGAAGCAAATAATATGTCAATATTTGATGTCATAACGATGCCATTTAACTTGTTTGTGAAACGGTTAAACAATAAGGTGCACTTTGATGCTTACAAAAATTTAAGTTTGTTACTTCAGAAGAAAAAAAAACTGCTCTATTATGAGTACGTTATTGTTTATCGAATTAATTTAGCGATAGAAAAAAGGAATTTATTAAATTCTGCAAGGCATTGTGTAAACGAGCTTTTCCTAGGTATCCTAGAGCCACTAGATTTTCATAGTCTACCTGATAAAATTGTCTGGAAAATTATGGATCATCTCAACATTAGAGAATTGAGAAAGCTTGTAAAACATGAAAAAACCAAATCGTTACTTGAACGTTTCAAGTCATTTGTTTTTCGTGACTATCAGTAAAACTATAAATTTTATTTTTCAATAGTAGAATATCTAATACCATTTGCTTTATTCATACGCAGTATTGGATGTAAAATAAATTGCTTTATAGATTTATACTAACAAAAATGGATTTATTGTACACTCTTATACGGAACTAATATATAAGTACTGTGGAAAATATATACTCGAGAAATCAATTATGCTCCAATTAATATTTTTAAATCTTTTAATTATATAACGAGGAAATAAATCATAAAGAGTAATAGATAAAACGATATAGAGGCCGTGCAAACTATTCGAGTCTTCAGAAAGTCTTTAAAGTGAAGAAAAATCAGTTTTCACCTTCCTTGCTAGGATAGAAAAACGTGACCCTGGATATTTTATGAAGGTTATGCACACGGCTTTTAAAATAAAATTTTACGTTTCAGATTTATTGCCAACACAATATTCTTTAAAGCGTTCTGAAGATGTTGGTTTGAAACTAATACCTGCATATTGTATTGTATACTGTCTTGAAATCATCTACAATACCAAGGTTCATTTTGACTCTTGTGAAGCCCTAGTTTTTAGCTGATTTTTTTTCTATTTAAAGTTTGTTTCCTCAAGTAAATGATTTTGGTATTTGAAAATATAATTATACCAAGAAAAAAATTTTATCGACAAGATAATTTCAACTAGATAGTTTTAATCAGCGAACAACTGAAGTACATACGCAATCAATGTAAAAGAAAGTTATAGATGTTATTTGCTTTCGTCATTGACTGCTTAGTTATAAAATTAACAATGGCATTTTCCTTTTAAGCATTGATAATATACACCAGGAAGGAAATTCCCGTTGTTCTACCATATTGTTAGTTTCTCAAGATTCTATTATATTTTTGATTGAAAAATATGTACAGCAGCTATGGCTAACGTTACTGCAGCTTGTTCCTTGAAGGGTACATTTAAAAGTAAAAATTTTTTTCCAACCTGTGGATGCCACTATTTCTTACCAGAGTGACATCATTAGGTGACAAATGTCACGAGTCAAATGGGCTTAAAGTTTTTTCGCAGTCGACGTCCGTACGACTAGAAAAAGTGACTAATTTGTTTTCTTTCACAGTCACCGCTTCATGTTGCGATTTTAGTTTTTTGCATTATACGAAGATGACTGTCCATTAAGCAGGAGAAATCAATTACAGCGCCCGGCAGCTGTTCGTAGCGAGTACTACGTGCACTTTCATTTCTCGCATCATAAGGTAATTTCCAATGGTTTTGTAATCAATAATTGAACGGCCTCAAAGTGCTTTTGTTTAAAAAATATTGTATTGCTATGATTGAGATCTTTTTTTTTTTAAAGTTTAGTGAAACACTTTAAATAAAAGTTTTTTATGATTTCCAAAAATATTTCTATTTTCATGCATAAGTTTCGTTATATATATTCTGAGCTTTTACAGCTTTTTAAAAATACGAGACCTATCGTATAATGTGATGTTAATTACACTGTTTGTATATGTATATTTTCGTAGAACGTATTGGGAAATGTCGACAGATTATCTCAAATTTAAAATGGTTGGAATGGTTGGAGGAAATTTTTATAGTGTTATTTTTATAGTGTTATTTGATAATGTTGTGTTGATAAAGCTACAGTATTTTTGAGTAAAACAGTCTTGGCTTTGATTAACTTCTTAGTAAGTATAATCGTTAAAAACAATTTAATATGAAATTTATTCATGTCCTTCCTTTTATTGCAATAAATTTCTAAATTGAAAATAAATTTCTAGTATCTTGATTATCTAGATATTTAATGACGACAATCTCGAAGTAAACGTTTTTCCACTTTCACGTGCTGAAAATATGACTTTGATAAGTTCGAGATATTAGTGATAGCTTGTTATATCTCTTACAGATCTACATTTATAGCATGATTCAAATCATTCTGTTTCGTGAGAACAGGAGCGACTGGTATTTAAATTTGCAATATTCATGTTGTTGTAGAGCCCTTTAAACGGGCAATGATTATTTCTTGAGTATAGTGTTAAAATGTGACACTAAGAGTAACCATATCTTAGATAATATTAGAACATTAAACACCGGTACGTTGTAGTGTTTCTAGTAAGTATAAAAATACATCCTGTAAGGTTGATTACGATTTCACAATAATCAATTATCACAACTATCTTATTTATTTTATATGTAACCGAAAATTTTCATCAAAATATCTCCTTTACACTCACGATTTTATATAAAGATTAAAATTCAATTTTGGACCTGAATATCAAACGATAGCTCTGATTCATGAGTATAAACATAATAAAATATGAACATCATAAATAATGAGAAATTGTGTCAAAGCGATACGTATCTCTGGTCACCTCCCATTATTTTTCTGGTTTTAAAAAAATTTCAAAAATGAATCAACTTGCATTCTCCGCTTGTAATCACGGGCAATGAACTGCATTCCTGTTATTCCAATTTATTTGACACCATTAGTCATTGTACACAAAGACGAATGTTTCGATTATGTTATTGATTTTTTGGTAAAATGTTATGATACCCCGTAATCTAATTTTGTTCTCTAACTCATTCGTTGTGTATTACTAAATTCAAGAATAGTTTACCATTTGCTCAATCGATGATCATCAAAAACTTCGTTTGGTAGTAAAACTGGATGATAATATCAGATGAAGGATTTTTAATTAAAATCAAAGTTGTCCTCGATAATATGTGTTAAAAAACTTACTACACTTTGCATGAAAAATTTTTATACAGCCTTTTTACGATACTTCATTAAAGAACATGGAACAAATTAAAACCATGACGAAATAGTACTAAGCGAACAATTCTATTTTTTTACTTAATAGAGCCCCTTGTGTATTTTATTTAAATAAACAATGGGCTCTTGAAACAATGTAAACTAGGACTATTAACTTAATTTTGCTAACGAGAGCATGATCATCTTCATCATTTAAGTTTGCCATGTACCATAATAAGTAGAAACTTTTAATCGAAAAAACGCAGAAACCTTTTATTCGTGTGAATCTGCTTAAAATAAAAAATTTTAAAAAACAATGCAATACCATCACCGGTGAAAGTAAATTGTGAGTAACATAACTATATTACAATTTTATTATCTATTTACCGTAAATTATTAAATTACAATAAGTATACAAGGTTTCATCAAAATTTAATTGTCAAATCTTGCACATTTTTCCTCTTTTCGGTCTTCCACCTTATTGAAAAATACTAAAATTTGCAACACAGTGGAAAATGCACTCTCATAACTCCGTATCTCCTATTTTGTGACCATGAAGTAATCAAGGAACACCGAATAGTTCTCATCCATCCTCCAAAGCAGAGAGTAATCGCAGGGGGGAGCAAACTAAGCCAACATCAGAGGGAGCAGGGGGGTCGAACAGCAAGTCGTATGATGGACCTTGATCAGGCCTTTCAATTACATCCGGAACTTCGACCGTAGGACTATACTGTGGGACGAGAGGGGGGCGAGGCTAGAGGGACAAGGATAGAGTTTCATTTGCGACCACAAAATTAACTCTCAATCACGGAACTACTCATGTAAGTCCTATTAGCGGGACCCAAGAGCAAAGAGACTACTGAGCAAACTCGAAATGTTCAAGGACTTCGGGGATCCTTCAACTGTGGCTTGGCATTGTGTTATTATTTGCCTTTGATGCATTGAATGATTGGGCTTGTATCAAGTAACAACAGCTAGTTTAAATCACATATATTTATGTATTGTGTAAAATTTTATTTGAATCGTTACATTTGTTTGCCAACAGTAAAACTACTTAGATGCTTTTTAAAACATTTCATCCCAGTCTGATAGAAGAAGTTTTTTTATGCTGTGTTAATAAACGATCTGTTAGTAAGTCCTTTCTAAATTAAGTTTAATTATTTTCATACTGATATAATGAAGTGAACTTTATTGACGTGAGATAGAAAATGGAGTCTCTGTCCAGAAAAATCTATTAAACCTTACAAGGTGAATGGCCCAATTATCAATCATTTTTCTTTATATCTTATAAGTTTTTTAAAACATAAATAATTTGTTATTGGGGCATCGAAAAAAAAATTTTTTTTCATATAAATCTACTTTGTTATTCATTGAAAATAAGTACATCTGAGGCCTGTAAAAAGGATAATAAAATGACCGATGATTGGGACGTTTTGTCTGCTTGAACGGGCTATAATTGGGATATTCACCTAATAAAGGTAGAAGGAAGTAAATTAGAAATTCTAGAATTAGAAACTTTTTAGGTGTGATCAATTTATTAGAGGGACTTATATTTTTCACATAGAAAAAAAATTTTAGACACACGGTGTGGATGTATGTACGCAATAAAGTTTGTCTACTAACTCAAGTTATTGCAATCCAAACAAGCTTAAATTTTGCAAGTAGTTTTGTATACAGTATCAAAATTGTTGGTTTGCAGGTAGAAAGTTTCCATTCAAAATATTACTGTAAAGGACAACGTATTCAAAAATCAATCCAAATCATAGTACTAAGTATTCGCAAGCAAACTATCCGTTGTTATTATCTGCTCACCTGGGCTTTTTAATAATCCACCCAATACTGTTTATCAATCTTGGATTCCCTGGAACAAAATGACGTACACAAATGCCAATGAAAATGTTCAACCAACACCAGACACCTTGAAACACGATTCATATTTTA